AACTCTGATTTAGAGGATTAGTTTTGAAATTGAACTGTTTAACATTGTGATCAAGGGCAGTGGGTTAATACACTTTTTTTTATTGTAAAGTACCAGGTAATAGATTGTAAAATATTTTAGGCTTGTGGGTCACATACGATCTCTGTTGCATATCCTAGTTTTTATAACCCTTTAAAAATGGGAAAATAATTCTTAGCTCCAGAGTCTTTCAAAAACATGTGATCTAAGGCATTTACTGGCTTTCAACCTGTTTTTTTCTCTGCCAAGTACCTAATGGTAGTAACAGTGCCTCAGTAGTTGTTTGTAAGGATTAAATGAAATAAACATCTGGCATAGTCTCCTGCACACTTTAAACACTCTGTAAATGCTGCCTTGGTAATAGTGATGTCTTGTGGCACGTATCAAAAAAGTAGGTGCCCTGCTGTGCCCCAGTGTTGTTCAAGACCCTATTCAAGTCAATTGGACAAACTTAATGCTGGTTCAATTCCCAAATCAGCTCACAAAAGGCTATTTGACTTCTGCTCTCTTGCTTCCTGAACTCTTATCCTCCTTGTACCCTAAGGAAGGAAGAGTGCAGAATTCCTATCCACTGATTTCTGAAGGAAGAAAGGGAAGGATCTGTGGAAAGGGGAAGCATTCTACTGATGTTCTAAAGTAGACTTCCAGGGAATTTGACAGTGGATTTGCAGTAGGGCAAGTAAGGGCTGATTATGGTCAGTTGTATATGATGTTTTCTGAATTGGGGACTAAATATATTCTCTCCACTACCATGAAGGTGCTACATGATAAGGTTGAAAAATCTGTTTTTCAGATAAGAAAGCATGGTTAGGCTGCTTTCAGTGATGCCTTTATAATGTGGATTGTTGCTAAAACAGCCTTAAATCCTTTAAATTATCCTGTCATAAAGTTTAACGAGATCACAGGAAAAGACTAAAGCTGCAGTGTCCAATAACAGCAGGCATGTGTGAGTATTGAACGCTCTGGATGAAGGTGGCTGGAATTGAGATATGCTTTGAGCGTAAAACACACTAGGTTCTATGACAATGTGAAAAAATAACGTAAACTATCTCATTAATAATTTATATATTGGCTACATGGTGAAACAATATTTTGGATGTATTTGGATAAATGAAATATCACTGAAGTTTCTTTTTACTTTTTAAATGTGTCTGTTAGAAAATTTTAAATTACATATGCAGTTAATTAACACAGTAATCCTATTAGACAGTTGCTAGGCTTCAGCTTGCTTTTTAAAAATTAGTAAGTAATTTTTTTATCGTGCACATATTACTGAGAATTAAATATTTGTATAAGGCTTGCAGCAAAGAGTTCCCACTACCCCAGCTTCACTTGTTACTCCCAAAGATAGCTTATATCAGTCTTCTTACCAATTCTTTTGGCCTTTCTAGACAGAGTCATCTCTAAACAGGATGCTTATATTGCCACTATTTTTCAGTGTTAGGCGTTACCCATTAACTTCCTATTGGGAAAGATGAGATTTCTAGGTCTTCCATTCTATACCACACGTACATAAACGTTCTATCTATCCATCTTCCCATCTTCTGAATATGGTTGTATCATAACTTTGCTTGTATCAATGTATCAAGATTCATTATTAAATTATTATGATATTAATCAAAACTGAAATATGTGGTACATACAGTTACTTTTCTTTCTAGCTCAGCATCTTGCTTTCCCTGGAGTTAATAATTGTCTTGATATTTATTTCCTTAGTTTACTGTGTATTTATCACTAATTAAACCTGAGTCCTCCCATAGTTGTGTAGATCTCTTCTCAAATGCATTAGGGATTCTGTCAATTTTAGTTGCTTGAAGACATCTTCTCTAGAGTTTGTCCTCTGCTCTGGTATGAATTGGTTGCATATTTGTCGTCTTGTGAACTCCTTTCTTCAGCCTTGGGATTCCTTTCATCAAACATGGAATCTAAGAAACAGATGTAATATCTGAGCAATTACTTCGCTGGGTTTGGAAGTTACTTTCACTCAGGATTGTAAATTAATGGTACTGTTTCTGTTTTTTCTTTTCTTTTTTGGATAAACCCTTTTAAGATGGTCCCTTTGAGCCTAGTTTTCTGAAACTTCATGGTTGTGGATCTTTTTTCATCCTTTGTCCACTGGTCTTTTCAATCTGGGGTTTCATGCTTTCCAGTTCTGGGAAATTTTTTGAATTATTTCTTTAACTCGTCTACCCATAATTTTTTAAATCAATTCTCTATTTCTGGAAATCTAATTATTTCAGATATTCAACCTAAACTGAGTTCTCTCTGATGTTTTTGTATGTCCTTTCCAATTTTTATCTTTTTCTTTTTGCTCTGCTTTGTAGACATTTTCTATAATTTTATAACCTTTTCTTCTCATCCCTCTATTAAGTTTTCCTTCCATATACTCTGTGTGTAATTTCTAAAAGCTCCTTTAGTTCTTTTTGGGGTTTTTTTTTTTGGATGTGTATGTCCTGTTTTTATTTTATAGATGGCAATAGTATATTTTTCTTTATGTTGGTATAAAGGTTTTTTGAAATGTTCTTCTCCCAGCATATTGTCCATTTCAACCAAATTGCATTGTTATTTTTCTTTTCTTTCATACTAGACGTTTTCCTCATCTGTTTTCTGATTCTTAGTAGTCTTCTTATATATAAGATTGAGGCACTAAAGAGTTAATTGGAGACTCTGAGGTAGAACTTACCAACCTTCACTTCTTTCAAGAGTTAATTGCTTGGACAGTTTTCCTTGGAAAACTCTCAGTGTCACTGTCTTTAGATCTCTTCTCCTGGTGGTGGTCAGATTTCTCAGGGAACGCACCTACCTTTTCTCTGGAGCGGTACCCAGCTGCTAGAACTCTAAGAACCAAGTCGCGGAGAGAAGGCTGAAGGTCCAGTATTCAGGATGTAATTTTTCATTTAATCCTCCTGCTTTTGTATTTACCCTTAATCATGCCTGGAAGTCCCGTGCAGAGACATTTTATTTTATGCTTTTTTGAATTACAACATCCAGTCTTCTTTCAGGGCTAGAGAGAAATAGTGTCCCGGGTGCTTGGTGTGGGAGAGGTCTGAGGGTCTTACTTTGTAAATAGCTTTTAATCAGTCCTTTCTCCCAGCTCTCCCTCTACTCCCTCTTCCAGAGGAAGGCTGGATCCCATCAGCTCCCGTGCCTTTTGGAGGTTCTAGGAGGTGCTGTAAATGGGGCTGCTTCTCTGATTTCCTGACTGACAGTGTAGGCTTCAGCTTTCTCAGGTCTGTTCTGTTAGTTACCATTTGTCTGCCTCCTTTTTCAGAACTGAAGTACTGTTGACTCTTCATCCTCTTTGTCAGTTACAGCTTTGGTATTTATTTTAGTAAGGGATACGTTAAAGTGCCGTATGGTGCACTAATTTTAAATTTACTGCTCAATGATTTTTTATACGTATATACACCCAAGTAATTACTCGCATCAGGGTAGAGAACATTTCTATGTGCTCCAAGGTACCCTTGTGTCATTTTCAAGTGTGTACCACCACCTGGAAGCACTGTGTTGTTTCTGTCATCATAGACTAATTTTGCTTGTTCTTCACTTTTACCTGTAAAATCATAGTATAGTAGTCTCAGTATGAAGGCTTTTGTGTGTGGCTTCTTTTGCTCAAAGAATTGGTGAGATTCATCAGTGTTACAGGCATCAGTTTTTTTAAATTCCTGTGTGTTACTGCACTGTGTAAAAATGCCACTATTATCCCTTCTGTGGGTGGGCATTTGGGTGGTTTCAGGTTTTGGGCTTTTGTGAATAAAGCTGTTATGAATATTATTGTACCTGTTTTGGTGTATATATTCATTCATTTTTCTTGGTTATATACCTTTAAATGGAATTGCTGGGTCATAGAGTGGGTGAACGTAGCTTTGGTAGAAATGCCAAATTTTCACAGTGGCTGTACCATTTTTCACTTCCAGCAGCAAAGTATATGAGTGTTCCAGTTGCCATCTTCTCTAACACTTCTTAGTCTTCAGTTTTAACCACTTGATAAGTATATATAGTTGATCCTTGAACAATGAGGAATTAGGGGCACCAGCCCCGCCACAGTCAAAAATCCCTGTGCGGCTATCTCTGCTGCAGATGCAGTGGAACTGATGAAAGACTCATCCAAGGACAGGAAGCGGAAGCAGTTTGGATAGAATCAGGGCACAGACCCTAGGTCTTCTCTTTCCATGTGATCTCTAATCAAACACAGATTTTCCCCACACTTAAAAATCTGTAAAATGAAAATACAGGTACTGTATTTATTGAAAAAAATCCACGTATAAGTGGACCTTGTACTGTTCAAGGAGTTAACTGTAGTCATGTTGTGGATTTTAGTTTCATTTCCCTGAGGGAATCATGTGTTGAACACCTTTTCACATGCCATTTAAATATCTTCTTTTGTGAAATACCTGTTCATGCCTTTATCTCGTTAAGAAAAATGGTTATGCCATTTTAACAATCTTGTTGGTCATTTTAATGGAGCTTTGGGAGGGAACGGGGCTAACTGTATGTGAGTAACCTGCCACCTTTAAATGGAAGTCAGGTAACTTTAAAGCTTCATTCAGATTTTTTTTTCTCATTTCTGTTCTCCAGTGTGTGATTCAACCTCATTTTTAATTAGCTGCTATAACCTGGAATTATAATGAATTTTAGAATGAGACACTTTGGTTCCAACCTTAAAGATACAGGAAATTTATTTCTTAGAAACTGGAACAAGAAAATTATTCAATAGATGTATTCTGGCTTAATCTCTTAATGTTTTTAGTTTAAAAAGGTACTTAGGACCATGAGCATTATTTATTTATTCATTTAACAAATGCATATTGAGTGCTTTCTCTATGTCAGATCTGATGGTAGACTTTGGGAATACATCAGTGAACAAAATGGACAAGCAAGGCTCCTAGCCTCTGAAATATATTCAGGTAGGAGAAATTGATAACAAATAAGTAAACAAATAATTAAGTAAGTTAATTAAAGATATTTTTCCTGTTTTGCAGAAATGGAGCAAGAGCCACAAGATGGAGAACCTGCTGAAATTAAGATCATCAAAGAAGCATACAAGAAGGCCTTTTTATTTGTTAATAAGGGACTGAATACAGATGAATTAGGTCAGAAGGAAGAAGCAAAGAACTACTATAAGCAAGGAATAGGACACTTGCTCAGAGGAATCAGCGTTTCATCATCAGATCCTGAACAGATAGGTCCTGGGTGGGAATCTGCTAGACAGATGCAGCAGAAAATGAAAGAAACACTACAGAATGTACGTACCAGGTTGGAAATTCTAGAGAAGGGTCTTGGCACTTCTCTGCGGAATGATCTTCAGGAGGTGCCCAAGTTATATCCAGAATTTCCACCAAAAGACATGTCTGAAAAGTCACTGGAGCCTCAGTCCTTTAGTTCACCTCCTCAGCACAGTGAAGTAAATGGAAATACTTCAGTTACAAGTACAGAGTCAGTTTCCGCACCTAGTGCTTTATCCTTCCCATCTCACGGTCACCCGTCAGAAGCGCCTCCTGCCTATACTCCTCAGGCTGCTGAGGGCCACTACACTGTCTCCTATGGAACAGAATCTGGAGAGTTTTCATCAGTTGGGGAAAACTTTTACAGGAATCATTCTCAGCCACCTCCTCTTGAGACCTTAGGGCTAGATGCAGATGAGTTGATTTTGATACCGAATGGAGTACAGATTTTTTTTGTAAATCCTGCAGGGGAGGTTAGTGCACCTTCATATCCTGGGTACCTTCGAATCGTGAGGTTCTTGGATAATTCTCTTGATACAGTTCTAAACCGTCCTCCTGGGTTTCTTCAGGTAAGCCAAAGAAAAATGTAAAAATGTGTAGAATACATTATTTTTATTAATATTTATAATGTGTCTAAGACAGTGAGTTACAAAAAGATCATTATAAGTTTTAGTTCCTTTTAAAATATATTTATGAAATTTATGAGCTTTGAACATCTATGTTTGTGTTTGGTAGCCTTTTCTTTTTCTTTTTTTCTTAGATGAAAAGTCTTGTTTTAGTATTAAATTTGTAATGACAGGACCCGAGAGAGACTGGAATATTCCTCCTTAGCTTCTAATTTTTTTATCTGAGGAAAAAAACTAGGAACTTTAATTTTAAAAGAGACTTATGTAATTCACGTGTGAATACACTGTAGATTTCCATAAATGTTGTCAGGCCCCAGCTGAGGGGCTGAACTGGGCTAGATCTGAGCAAAGTAGGTGCTTTTGTCCAGAGTCCAGATGATGTGGTTTGGTTGCAGTACTGGTTATCTAGGTTGATTTTCTCTTTTGGTATACTCAGAATTCTTATGCAGCTTTTACATGGATTCAACTGGAAAGTTGTTTAAAGGTAGATGGAGACCTTCTAGGGATGTATGAAGGAGAGATTTTGGGGCATTGTTGAAAGGAAGACTTCATCATTGGACAGGAAGAATAGTGTGATCCCATAAGTTATTTTAAAAAAGAAGGCTTGAGGTTAAAAAGAGTAGGCTTATTAATTGGGATTGTGAGGGAGCTGCTAAAAGATACAATACTTCCTGCTGTTGTGGTAATAGAGGTGCACTGTAACAATGGAATTTAAAAAAACCTTCGGGGCCTGAGCTGTTGGAGGTGTGAGGAATGAACATCAGAAACACTCAACTGGTTACATGAGCCATTAAAATGACTTGTTCTCTAGTGAAAATTTGTCCTGTCCTAGTGCTTTTAATGTTATTTTTCATCTTTCCAGTATCTCTTTATTTTGGGTCCTAAATAAAAAGTAAAGTCGTACCCAGAATTTGAGTCTTTTTAAGGGGCTCTCATTTACATGTATTCAGATACTTGTAGCAGTGTCCTGAAAGGGAGTTACCATGTGTTCACTGAATAGTTTTGTTGTGAAAAACAAACACTGAAACAACTAAGTATTAGATGTTAGATACAACTTCTTATGCTGCAAAAAAAAACACTATTGTTTTATTTAGGAAATTAGAAATTAATTTGGTTTTAGGTAGGCACACTTAGAATTCTATGGCTTCTAAAACTACTTTTCTCTTGGCTTTAGTTTTAATATACTTTTTAAACCTGTTAAATTTGTAGTCAGTTCATACGGAACTTGGACATGAGATTGCCCTCTGAAAGTGAAACTGGGAGAAGTCAGCTTATGGTAGATGAGTTCACCAGTCTGTAAAATCTATCCTGAGAAAGGTCTATGAAGTTTTATTTGAGAAGATTTGAGAATACTCCATTTCAACGTAGTTAGTCTTAGAGAAATCACAGCCTAGTGAAAGAAACCTTTCCCAAACTTCAGTCATTTAAGTATAACCATGTTTTTTTTGTCAAATTCATCACTTCTGTCACTTAATATTTTTATTTAAATGTCTCATATGTTAATTTTATCCTAAATAATAACAACTGTGAAATGGAGAGAAAGATGTTATTTTTTCCCTAATGCATATTAAAATACATAACTACTCAAATTTAAATAGTTTACATATTACTTGAAGTCATTCCCTATACCACAGGTTATATATCATACTTTGGAAAATATAGTAATCAGTTTTATTGTTAACTTGTCTGAAGCTTGACTTTTAGAAAAGTTGGAGAGTGGCTTTTGAGATGACAAAAAAGAATCCATAAAAATTTGGGAAATGTTTTCTAGGAAAGAATCAAATGAGTACTCTGCTCCCTGCATGTTTGTAATGCTGTTGGTCAGAGATGACGGTTATATACCAGAATTTTCCATTGTTTATGTGAAATCTTTCATCTCTTTGACTCATGTTCACCACACAGTACTTTGATAATAGATTGTTCTCCCAAGTTTCTTAATGTGAGGAAGACAGTGTGCAGGGAGAGAGGCATAGTTATATTCTGGTCACTCAAAGAACGTATCTCAATGGAAATGAATACATTTGGATATTCTGATTTAAACTTAGTTTCTT